TGGGCTGTCATTTGTACTACATTGTATAACATTGTATAATTGTTTATTTTATTTTATGAGTATGTGAATATTGCCTGTAAGTTTGTGAATTATGTATTGTATGTACATTTTTTTAATATGAACTCGTGGGGCGTAAGGCCTACAGTCAATACATTGAATTGAATTGAATTGGACCGGCTTGATTCAGTGTAAAGCTGATGATTTTTTCGGTCGTATTTATGCAGTGAATTTCACACATTCTATAAAGTTATAGGACGGGATTGAGGAATTAGAAGGAATATCATATTATACTATAACCGAGTTTTTTTTTATTAATTACAAATTAATTCTGAATTGTCAATGTATATTCCGACTAAGGTATGTGGGAGGGATGTACGTTGTCATTAATATCACTTGTTGATAGAGAGATCTGACTGTTAATAGTTAGAGGGAAAGATATCAACCTTGCTTGTGGCGGGAAACAATGACGAGTAAATGTAGTCACTAGTAAAATTGTACAAGATATTATTGGTTCCACGCGTTCGGATGGAGTGTCTACTATAATGATCGATAATTGAAACATCTGTGACAATTAGCTAGATGTCTTTTTGTTCTCACTATGGCTGTTGTTTATTAGATTGTCGTACTGTGGTCCGGGGAGTTCGATTGTTGGTCTGGGGTCCGGGAGTTAGTTAGGCGGACTTTGGTCCGGGAGGTTCGATTGTCGGTCTGGGATCCGGGGAGTTAGTTTGGCGGACTGTGGTCCGGGGAGTTTGATTTTCGGTCTGGGGTGCGGGAGTTAGTTTGGCGGACTGTGGTCCGGAGAGTTCGATTGTCGGTCTGGGGTCCGGGAGTTATTTTGGCGGACTGTGGTCCGGGAAGTTCGATTGTCGGTCTGTGTTCCGGGCAGTCCTGTATAGTCAGTCGGAGTGGATGGTTGGGCCGAGCGAGTGTCAGCGGGTGTGTCTCCCGCTGAGCTACATAGCCATAGGATGGAGATCGGCTTTATAACTATGTACAAATCTGTGTAAATAAATACTAAACGATCACAGAGATGGGTTTATGTTGTATAAACTGTTTTTTTACTCGAGCATCATGTTTGATTGCAGCTGCCACTTGTGTTGTTTGAGACTTTCACCTGTCTAGAACGTCTGCTTTCCTAGATAAGCGCCATGTCAGACTGTAGGTTGACACTTATGGGGTTGAAAACATTTACCAGCCCAGAACGTCTGGGCCGCCATTTTAAGACCTCATGTTGTCGTCCCTTTTAGTTCTTTGTCTCTTCGGTTCTTGTTTTCTCCGACTATCAACATCGAATTCCGATGTTGTTCTTTTTTCAGTCCGATTTGCGTGACAGATTCTATAATGTACGGTCTATACAAAGTATATTTGATAAATTTTCTGTGCAATTACTTTATGATTATTTACACTCAATCGATATTCGCATTAAGGTATTACAACCCATTCGTTTGGCAATGAAGTATCTTTACAATTAAACTCCTGTTTACACATTTATTTTTAGTTTGATGTATATATTTTTGTGAATGTCTATTTTTACAGTGTCGTTTATCCCTTAATGTAAACTGATAATAAAACAACTACACGAAACCTCATTCTCAAACTAAGAATTCGAGCTAAAACTTGGTTTCATATTTCGATAAAAAAAGTAATAGAAATTCACATTTTGTGAATGACGTGGAAGAATTTTTTATACAAAGCATATTAGCTTAAAAATTATATTATTCCGTTAAATCATTTGTTGAATTGTTCACACATATATTTGTGTGCTTAATGTGAAATAAATACAAGGACACAATGTACTTATATCAATTGTTTATATCTCATCTACATGTGGTCTCCATCTAATAATGATAAGAATGCATACATCCTCACAGCAATGTGAAATGGAAGAAGGGGCACGGACTTAGTTCTATATGACGGGGCATGGTATAAGTTCATTATATAATCAAATGTCTTATATTATTCACAACTCACTAATTAATTGTAACAAGATGTATATATACATGTTCACCAAAGTGTAACAAGAAATGTACAATTCAAACATTAGTGTCGTGGGTAATACATGTACAGGTTACGAAACTCTGTCTTAGACCAGACTTGTGTCAGGGGTACAGTCTGACAACCTTCTACAATCATACAAACATCAATAAAACATTGTTATTACAGTACATACGATACACTGCAGGACAATAAGTATGTAAACATACAGACAAATTCAAACTCAACTTCATCTTTTTACTTTGGGTCTTGCATCCCGTGACTTTAAATAAATATTACACTCTGTACGTATATCAAAGAGGAAGACTAGATTGTGTACCAGAGTTCAGTGTATGTGTGTTCTAATCAACACTGAAACAGCCACTGCTATTTGATTATTGTTTATAGGATAAGTTGATATCATATTGGAACAAAACTGACAGAATTGGTTTGAACTCTATTTTGTATATTAAAAATTTGTAAACAAAATTCACGTCACATTCCCAGACATGAGATATACTTCACATACATACTCTATCAAAATCGATATTAATTTGCAATGAAAAAATTTAACACAATAATATTCTCTATTTTTGGCAATCGTTGTAGTGATGTTAATGATTGAACTGTTGCTGGGCAAGCAATACATTTTGTATAATTATGGCACCGACGAGCGATAATAGATTTAATAAGGTTTTAATTTTAAATCAGAACACTGCATGTAAGTAATAGAGTCGTTACATAGTGTAAAACGACACTGCCAGTTAGTTATAGAATATTACTGAGAAGTGAAGTCGGTTCTCGTACATGAGGGTAAGTAATCAGGTAATTAGTAATATGCTACTTGGCAATGATAAAAATATTGTACATTACGGGTAGATAATACCATGCTATTTGGTAGTGATATAAATGCTGTACATCACGGGTAGATAATATAATGTTATTTTGTAGTGATATATAAATGCTGTACATTACGGGTAGATAATATAATGTTACTTGATAGTGATATAAATGCTGTACATTACGGGGAGATAATATAATGTTTTTTGGTAGTGATATAAATGCTGTACATTACGGGGAGATAATATAATGTTATTTGGTAGTGATATAAATGCTGTACATTACGGGGAGATAATATAATGTTATTTGGTAGTGATATAAATGCTGTACATTACGGGAAGATAATATAATGTTATTTGGTAGTGATATAAATGCTGTACATTACGGGAAGATAATATAATGTTATTTGGTAGTGATATAAATGCTGTACAATACGGGTAGATAATATAATGTTATTTGGTAGTGCTATAAATGCTGTACATTACGGGTAGATAATATAATGTTACTTGGTAGTGATATAAATGCTGTGCATTACGGGTAGATAATATAACGTTACTTTGTTGTGGTATAAATGCTGTACATTACGGGTAGATAATATAACGTTACTTTGTAGTGGTATAAATGCTGTACATTACGGGTAGATAATATAACGTTACTTTGTAGTGATATAACTGCTGTACATTACGGGTAAATAATAGAATGTTACTTGGTAGTGATTGGTTTGGTTTAATTTTGTTTAACGTCCTTTTAACAGCTAATGTCATTTATGCACGTGCCTTCATGTGTGTAATGTATGCGTGCTTGCGTGTGTGTATGCATGAGACAGGGTATGTTGATGTGCTTGCCTCCTTGTGATAGCGCGGATCTGATGCCGACTTTATAGTGCTATCTCACTGAAATGCCATGCCGAAGGCACCAAGCACAGCATTCCCCCCGGTCACATTATATTGACAACGGTTGTTACCATTTCCCTTAATGCTGAACGTTAAGCAGGGAACAACAAGTACCAATTTTAAGGACTTTGGTATGTCCCGGCCTTGGGACAGAATCCATTGCTTTCCTCACTTTGGCAAACGCTCAACATTCAAGCCAACGGTGAGGTGTTGCCAAGCAAGGCGCTAGGAAATAAAAGGTAGTTAGAAGTAGACAGAAAGATAAAGATCCCAAATATTGCAATGGGCGCAGCAGATTTATTTTGGTCGCTTTTGTGTCCCCCATTGAGGACACAAAAGCAAATCCCCAATTCTGCAGGGGTTTCCCACAATAGTCGCCTCCTGCGATACATGCAGTGGGTAACGGCAGGTGTATTTTTCCCCGATCCCCCACCTGCAGGGGTGACTTGGTAGTGATACAAATGCTGTACATTACGGGTAGATAATGTAATGTTACTTGGCAACGATAAAAATATTGTACATTACAGGTAGATAGCAGAATGTTACTTGGCAATGGTAACACATATTGTACATTACAGGTAAAAACAGAATGTTACTTGGCAATGGTAACACATATTGTACATTACAGGTGATAATATAATGTTACTTGTTAGTGATAAAAATATTGTACATTACAGGTGATAATATAATGTTACTTGTACTTAAAAGTGAAAAACAGTAAATCATAGGTATTAGAGTTCCTACTCAATGTAAACAAGTCAGTACATTGCAGGTAAGTAATAGAATGGTACTTGATAGTGAAACAATCTTGTGCATTACAAGTAAGATACAGAGTCACCTAAAAGTGTAAAAAAATAAGTGGATTACATGTAATAGAATGTTACTTGGCATTTGGGAAAAACAATATCTTGTACATTACAGGTAGGTAATGCTGTCTCTACACCGTGTAAACAACCCAGTACATTACGGGTAGGGAATATTGTCTCTACACCGTGTAAACGACCCAGCACATTACGGGTAGGTAATGCTGTCTCTACACCGTGTAATACTGTCTCTACACCGTGTAAAAAACCCAGCACATTACGGGTAGGTAATGCTGTCTCTACACCGTGTAAACAACCAAGTACATTACGGGTAGGTAATACTGTCTCTTCACCGTTTAAACAACCCAGTACATTACGGGTAGGGAATATTGTCTCTACACCGTGTAAACGACCCAGCACATTACGGGTAGGTAATGCTGTCTCTACACCGTGTAATACTGTCTCTACACCGTGTAAACAACCCAGCACATTACGGGTAGGTAATATTGTCTCTACACCATTTAAACAACCCAGTACATTACGGGTAGGTAATACCGTCTCTACACCGTGTAAACAACCCAGCACATTACGGGTAGGTAATACTGTCTCTACACCATTTAAACAACCCAGTACATTACGGGTAGGTAATACTGTCTCTACACCGTGTAAACAATCCAGTATAAAGCACAGAAGCCGAGGAACACCAGCGGGAAGGCAAGGCGGGAGATACGGTCTATTTGTTCTCCTCGTTTTTGAACTTTCACCTTGGATAAATCGGGATCAAAGCTGTCACTTTTCTGTACCTGTAAGAACAAAATTTAAATATAATAAATTAGTGATAAAAAAATCATAATAATTGTATGTTAATGTCTAAAAAGGATTGTATATATATAATCTTTCAGGAGAGGACTTTCATAGGTATTGTATGTTGCCCGTTTTATTTTGTATGCAAGCACTATATGAAATATTCTTGATACTTAATATTTCTGAACTACTGAGATGCGAGATAAAATCAAGTACCTCTAACTGAGCGATGTCGGATGGTGTCAGGCTATGATTGTAACATTCTAACCTTTGGATTTCGCTCCGGTTTTGGTTTTGGAGACTAATAAAATCAACTACTGTAACTATAACTGAGAGAGATCAGGTTATCCAAATCGAGGGATAAGATTATGTAACATAATCCCAACCGAGACGTAAGCCGTCTAGGGCCTCAAAATAAACATGCCTCTACACTAGTAAAGATACATTTGAATGCTTCCGGGTAAAAATATAGTCTGTACACGCAACAATACACATAACGGCAAAACAGAATGTTTATAATGCAGATTGTAAATTTCAAGCCTTTTACGAGCGGATGAATACATCGCTGTGTAACAATTCCGCGAAATGTCACGTAAAGGTACCAGACTGATCGGACAGATAGAAAAAAAATCTAGCACGGGGTATGACGTGGGATATCTCTGTCAGAGGTGTGAGAACACTTAATCTCGATAAATTACAGGTAATTGTTTGTGTTAATTCAGTAAAGATCATTACTTTACGTTAGTAAACAAAGGTCTGCATCATAACTGTTTACTAGTACATGTAAGTGTCATCTGTAAACCAGATGTTTACTAGTACATGTAAGTGTCAACTGTAAACCAGATGTTTACTAGTAGATGTGTCATCTGTAAACCAGATGTTTACTAGTACATGTACGTTTCATCTGTAAAACAGATGTTAACTAGTACATGTACGTTTCATCTGTAAACCAGATGTTTACTAGTAGATGTGTCATCTGTAAACCAGATGTTTCCTAGTACATGTACGTTTCATCTGTAGAACAGATGTTAACTAGTACATGTACGTTTCCTCTGTAAACCAGATGTTTAGTAGTACATGTAAGTTTCATCGGTAAACCAGATGTTTACTAGTAGATGTGTCATCTGTAAACCAGATGTTTACGAGTAGATGTGTCATCTGTAAACCAGATGTTTACTAGTACATGTAAGTTTCATCTGTAAACCAGATATTTACTAGCACATGTAAGTTTCATCTGTAAACCAGACGTTTACTAGTACATGTACGTTTCATCTGTAAACCAGATGTTTACTAGTACATGTCAGTTTCATCTGTAAATCAGATGTTTACTAGTACATGTACGTTTCATCTGTAAACCAGATGTTTACTAGTACATGTACGTTTCATCTGTAAATCAGATGTTTACTAGTACATGTAAGTTTCATCTGTAAACCAGATGCCTGTTAATAAATCATCTCGTTACTTAATCTACTCACTGTTGCGCGGATAGTTTAACGGAGAACAAAACCACAAGGAAGGAAATGAATCATCATCAATTCTGACTTTGAAGTTGTTTGATGCATTCTTTGTATATGATTAAGATATAAGTGTGAAATATTTAGAATGGGTACTCAACAAATCACGCATGTGACATTTAATACGTACGTCCTTCCGCTCCATAACATTTACTAGGGCGTATTCCAACATGGCGGCAAAGACAAACCCTAGACAAACAGCCATCCACACGTCCAGTGCCTTGATATACGACACCTGGGGCACGGATGACGCCATGTTTGTCCTTTGATTGGTCAGTGTGAGAACTGTAAGAATTCCTAGTGAGATTCGAGCTGGGACCGCGTCTATGCTGAGCCAGAAGGACACCCATGAGAGCAGCACGATAAGGATGGTTGGTATGTACACCTGTATTACGAAGTAGCCGATGTTCCGGTTGAAACTCATCTGCAGCTGAATGCACGTGAAGTTACCTGCAATAGCCATATATAACTGTAAAGTTACTTGTAATAGCCATATAGAACCATACAGTTAAGTGAAGATGCCATGTAGAACCATACCGTCCCCTGTTGTCTCCATTTGGGACAGTTAAGTTAACTGACAGAACTGTTACCATACATTCACTTATGTATGCCGTATACTCATGGGTAACCACACTTATCGTAAAGGCCATATCTTCTTTTATGTAATTTTAATCTCGATATCTAGCAATGCTAACTAGTGTATCGTGTGAATTCTTTGTCACTTCTTTTGTTCCCACTTTGAGGACATGGCATTACTTGAAGCAGAAGACCCGACCCTTCCATAACACGACTTGTTATTTCTGAGTTCTAATGAGAGTTTGTTAACACTTTCGAATTCACTTATATTTCCCCTTCTTTATCACACCTCCAAAACATAAACGAACTTTTTAATCATATAAAGACTTGCACTTACCTTCAGTATCACCTCCGAAACTCAAACATTCTGAAACGTGATGTTCACGGAGTTCGAATTGAGGTAGTTCCATATTTTCATTAGTTTGAATGGGATTGACCTTTCGCCATCGGAATCGAAGGTTGTTTCTGGTAAATGCAACTGTAATTTAGAAAACAAAAAGATTATGTTGATTTGTAAAAAGGACAGATTATTTAAGGAAAACGAATAGCTTATGTTAAATGGTAAACGTAGGATAAAATAACTTATGTCGTGCTGCAAAATGGATGACAATGTAATGTTTCTTGATAAAGAATAGATTTATAGTATTTATAATAGTAACAAAGATATATATACGTTTCCTTTTTGACAATGGATAAAATAACAAACTATCCTGGTGCTATAACGGCAGGGAATGACTCATTGCTTTATACGTATCGCTAGTGTCTCTCTGAATTTATTCTCTCTGAATTTGCACTTTATTTTAACTATTTTATATATATTATCCATATGCGGATGTCGAAGACTCGATATCAATATGAATATAAGTATTTTGGAGAGTGTTCAGAGATTCATTAAAGATACTAGACGCTTTTACTAGATTACACTTACTTGTTTATCTATTTTCACATGACTTTGCTGTGTGGAATGATACCAGCACATAATTGTACTATGTGCTGTCCACCAGCATAATTTTAATTGCCATTTTTTTTGTACAATCTGGTTTTTGTAACACCAGTTTTCAAAAAACTAATAATGACATGCACATATCAATGTATATAATATACATGTTTTATCATTACTTCAATTCAATAGGATGTGTGTAACGGTTTATAACTGTAAGGAGAGGGCGCTCAGAGGCTTTGCCTCTTGCCCAATTCCTTTGTGTCTAAGATCTGAACAATACATATTCTGAAATGAAATGAAAGATACATATTGAATAGTTACACAGTCCCTTACTGTCTCAACATGACATAACGTGTTCTACACTCCACTTACAGCTCTGTATGTAAAGGGCGCAGACTTGTGAGTCGAGTGGATATTTGTGAAGTTTCATCGGACACGCGGCTGTAATAGACGCTCTGTAAAACAAACGACAATGCAGAACACGAAACAGAAGTAAACTCGATGATAAAATGCATTACTTAAGAACTCCCACCAAGAATGCAAAACCCAATCATTTCCCCCTAGATTTAACGATCCATTAATCAAGATGATAATTTAAGTAATCACATAGAACATGTACTTGAATGACGTCATATTTTAGATGCTCACTCGACAAAATACTTATAATTTTAAACGCAAATAGTGTATTTTTGTGCACTTCTTAGTTTGGAATATGAAAAAAGTAGTTCTCGAACTGAAACTTCACTAAGAGAAGTCATGTAAAACATTGTACCCTATATGAGCGCTCCACATATCTTTAATGTTTAAGTCCTGGATTGTCATTTGTCCGTGTTCCTGTTGTAAAATATTTAAAACCATGACATGCTCTAAAACCTTTATACGACTGAAAACAGCAAGACTATCAAAACCGATTCACGACGAGACACCGTTATATCATTAAAACATTTAACACGACCAGAAACTCTAATAAAATTTCAATCTCTTTCCCATGCGTTTATGGAAATAGGTGAAGACCTTCCAAGTAATAGGAATTGTTCTGTATATGACGTCACAGGATTGATGACCCACCGCAGTCGATACACAATGCGACCGTTCTCGTATAGATGGAGCATTTTGTTGGGTACTGTGACGTCGTGGAATGACGCGCTTTTCTCGTTGGTGACGTAGAGGTCGGGGACCCAAATCAGATCAATTAGTTTGGAGTCGAGCTCGAGGAAGGCGGAGTCGATGAGACCGTAGAATTGTAGACGTTCGTCTATCCACTCCTGTTGTATGAACATGTTCAGCTTCAGATCCTGTGGTAATAAAATGTTACATACAAATTACAGTTTTATTCAAGCATACAATTTATTTGATTGGTTATATTTTGTAGGTTTGATAACTAAGGATTAATATCCCGTAACTTTCTTTTCTACCTGAAGATCTAGGTAAAAGCAAATCAATTTCCTAACGTTAATTATTACATAAGTTTTAATATACAATGTAAACGTCTTCTATTAATTTGAAATATGTATGCGTTAAGGGAACTCTAAATAAATTGTTTTAGAAAATATCCAATAGGTTGATTTTTTTTCTGTCTGTAGTTCCAAATGCTGTTGTATTTTAGAGACAGTGTTTACACGTAAGTTTTATCGTCATGACGGGTTTGTGAAGTGGTTTTTCAGCCTGAGAGTTACCGTCATGAAAGGTTTCAGTACTCTTTGTCGCCTGACCGTTCAACTACATTCCTATGTCATTGTCGTGCTTATGAAAATTGATCCCAAATATGTCCGATTTGTTTTGCAATTGCTATACGTGGATAATAGGCTCCGGGCGTGTATGCAATGGCCCCCTTTTAATCTCCTTGTTATGTAATTATCAAAGAAGACTCATCTTTGAATTACATTTTGCTCGAGTTATCTCTCCTAGTACCAATGACAAACGTTGTCAGCAGTCCCAACAGTCAGCAGACGCCTTTCTGTTTGGCTTATAGCATCGCGGCCCAACAGTCAGCAGACGCCTTTCTGTTTGGCTTATAGAATCGCGTCCAAACAGTCAGCAGACGCCTTTCTGTTTGGCTTATATCATCGCGTCCCAACAGTCAGCAGACGCCTTTCTGTTTGGCTTATAGCATCGCGTCCCAACAGTCCGCAGACGCCTTTCTGTTTGGCTTGTATCTTCGCGTCCCAACAGTCCGCAGACGCCTTTCTGTTTGGCTTATAGCATCGCGTCCCACCAGTCAGCAGACGCCTTTCTGTTTGGCTTATAGCATCACGTCCCAACAGTCCGCAGACGCCTTTCTGTTTCGCTTATATCATCGCGTCCCAACAGTCCGCAGACGCCTTTCTGTTTGGCTTGTATCATCGCGTCCCAACAGTCAGCCTTTCTGTTTGACTTGTATTAGATTCCGTTGACATTTGTATTGTGGTCTTTTTGGCCATTGCAGATAGTAACGTTAATTATAGGTTTATTATAAAATCCTACTAGTCAGTTTCGTCTTGTAGAAAATACAAACATATTTAAAGTTAAGAAAATAATGCAAGAAATGTAAATGATGTCAAAAAGTTAAGATGCAAGATGCCCGACTCGTTAGCAAAGCTTGTAAAAGACTTCAGAGATGAATGCAGTTCAAAATTTGAAATTTTTGTTTTGTTCATCTACTTTTTCCGTTGCGTTGGTTGATTATTATTAAATAATGTATTTATCTACTGCAAATGATGATTTAACATTCATTTTCAAAGACCAATCAATGTATTAAAAGGGTTGAAGTATACTTTCCATCAGCCAAACTCCGAATTTGTCCGGGTTTGCCGGTTAAAGTGTCTCGACAATTCATTTCTTTGTCTTTCTAGTGATAAGTCTGCAACAAAATACCAGCTACATATCTTTTCAAAAAACAAACTTTAAACTGATGAAGTATCAATAGAGCGATATAAACCACACAACTCTCCATTCTGCTACCAGGGCTGCTGGCGTTGGTACGACTGACGAGTCAGTAGACGGCCAGGTAGATGTTAGATGGGAATCTCGGGGTTTTATGTCGGGTTAGCAACCTTGGAACTATGCTGAGGTTTGAAAGGTCTGGCATCTGCTTTACTTAATTTGGGACCTTAACATTGAGGTTTAACTATACATTAACACGTAGTAAAATTTTTAGTAATTTTATAAAGGGTTGTATTGTGTGCTGCTCATCTGTTGGTTCTGCATTAAAATATCATTTTTGATTTTTTTTCCAGATATCAAAACGTGCATATGAATTACTTGGTACTTCTAAGTGAAAAGAGCATTTTTTAAAGGCAAGGAAGTCACTGGAAATCGTCTAGCTATGAATGAGCCGTTGCCATGTCATTGTGTAATGACAATTTAAATATGATCTGTGTTTAAAGCAATTTGAACCTTTACTTGGTCGTCTTTTGGCGCTGAAGGATGTTTCAAATCATATGAAAATACATTGTGGGGGAAATGATATTTGACAACATGAGAGTTGTGACTTACAGCACACTATTTTAAGGACGATAACTATATTATGAATTTGTAATTAGATTACCACAAAAAATCACATTGAACACATTGGCTGTATCATGAGTTGTTCAATGGATGCCCAGTAACAACAAGTGTTAATATTGATTTTTTGACTATTGATATGATTATACTCGAATAATAACAGAATATCTGCCATCATTCAACATTGATTTGTAAATGTTGTCAACGTGAAATACATTCATAGACACCTAGACAGATCGCTGTACAGCTATTAGTTATTACTGAGCCATAGGCGATTGGGTACTGTGTAAAATAGAATGGCAGGGGTCCGTTTGATATCTCCTGTGATAAATTCATTGTCTTGCTTGGAGTTGCTTGCACATTAACTGAAGCAAATGCTTGAATAAGTGTATTCATTCTGGTTTTTATGATCAAAAATATCTTTGTTACCATTATAAAACAAGGTAGCTAAACCACAGCGCAGCCATGCATTTATTTGTTATGTCAGTTCAATACTTTTCAGAAACATAACTTGGCATAACTATCGAGGAAATAAAAATGCCTGTATATGGTGTAAAAAGCATAAGGGCTCTCTATCCTAAACAACTAAAGTCTCGGAGCATCGATTGTTGTTCCCTATTAGTACAGCCAGGTGTGGAGGTGTGTCAGGTTCCCATAAACACATTCTAGGGAAGAGTAATAAGGGGCGCCGAGTCTTGTTTCCTGATAATACAGTTAAATGGCGCACTGAATTTGATTATAAATTTGTGAAATATACATTTTAGTGTAGGGTAATCGTAGAATGCCGTTTATCGTTCACTGTTAGTAAAACCTTGTATAGAGGACTCGTGGAATGTCGTGTCTCGTTCACTGTTAGTAAAACCTTGTATAGAGGACTCGTGGAATGTCGTGTCTCGTTCACTGTTAGTAAAACCTTGTATAGAGGACTCGTGGAATGTCGTGTCTCGTTCACTGTTAGTAAAACCTTGTATAGAGGACTCGTGGAATGTCGTGTCTCGTTCACTGTTAGTAAAACCTTGTATAGAGGACTCGTGGAATGTCGTGTCTCGTTCACTGTTAGTAAAACCTTGTATAGAGGACTCGTGGAATGTCGTGTCTCGTTCACTGTTAGTAAAACCTTGTATAGAGGACTCGTGGAATGTCGTGTCTCGTTCACTGTTAGTAAAACCTTGTATAGAGGACTCGTGGAATGTCGTGTCTCGTTCACTGTTAGTAAAACCTTGTATAGAGGACTCGTGGAATGTCGTGTCTCGTTCACTGTTAGTAAAACCTTGTATAGAGGACTCGTGGAATGTCGTGTCTCGTTCACTGTTAGTAAAACCTTGTATAGAGGACTCGTGGAATGTCGTGTCTCGTTCACTGTTAGTAAAACCTTGTATAGAGGACTCGTGGAATGTCGTGTCTCGTTCACTGTTAGTAAAACCTTGTATAGAGGACTCGTGGAATGTCGTGTCTCGTTCACTGTTAGTAAAACCTTGTATAGAGGACTCGTGGAATGTCGTGTCTCGTTCACTGTTAGTAAAACCTTGTATAGAGGACTCGTGGAATGTCGTGTCTCGTTCACTGTTAGTAAAACCTTGTATAGAGGACTCGTGGAATGTCGTGTCTCGTTCACTGTTAGTAAAACCTTGTATAGAGGACTCGTGGAATGTCGTGTCTCGTTCACTGTTAGTAAAACCTTGTATAGAGGACTCGTGGAATGTCGTGTCTCGTTCACTGTTAGTAAAACCTTGTATAGAGGACTCGTGGAATGTCGTGTCTCGTTCACTGTTAGTAAAACCTTGTATAGAGGACTCGTGGAATGTCGTGTCTCGTTCACTGTTAGTAAAACCTTGTATAGAGGACTCGTGGAATGTCGTGTCTCGTTCACTGTTAGTAAAACCTTGTATAGAGGACTCGTGGAATGTCGTGTCTCGTTCACTGTTAGTAAAACCTTGTATAGAGGACTCGTGGAATGTCGTGTCTCGTTCACTGTTAGTAAAACCTTGTATAGAGGACTCGTGGAATGTCGTGTCTCGTTCACTGTTAGTAAAACCTTGTATAGAGGACTCGTGGAATGTCGTGTCTCGTTCACTGTTAGTAAAACCTTGTATAGAGGACTCGTGGAATGTCGTGTCTCGTTCACTGTTAGTAAAACCTTGTATAGAGGACTCGTGGAATGTCGTGTCTCGTTCACTGTTAGTAAAACCTTGTATAGAGGACTCGTGGAATGTCGTGTCTCGTTCACTGTTAGTAAAACCTTGTATAGAGGACTCGTGGAATGTCGTGTCTCGTTCACTGTTAGTAAAACCTTGTATAGAGGACTCGTGGAATGTCGTGTCTCGTTCACTGTTAGTAAAACCTTGTATAGAGGACTCGTGGAATGTCGTGTCTCGTTCACTGTTAGTAAAACCTTGTATAGAGGACTCGTGGAATGTCGTGTCTCGTTCACTGTTAGTAAAACCTTGTATAGAGGACTCGTGGAATGTCGTGTCTCGTTCACTGTTAGTAAAACCTTGTATAGAGGACTCGTGGAATGTCGTGTCTCGTTCACTGTTAGTAAAACCTTGTATAGAGGACTCGTGGAATGTCGTGTCTCGTTCACTGTTAGTAAAACCTTGTATAGAGGACTCGTGGAATGTCGTGTCTCGTTCACTGTTAGTAAAACCTTGTATAGAGGACTCGTGGAATGTCGTGTCTCGTTCACTGTTAGTAAAACCTTGTATAGAGGACTCGTGGAATGTCGTGTCTCGTTCACTGTTAGTAAAACCTTGTATAGAGGACTCGTGGAATGTCGTGTCTCGTTCACTGTTAGTAAAACCTTGTATAGAGGACTCGTGGAATGTCGTGTCTCGTTCACTGTTAGTAAAACCTTGTATAGAGGACTCGTGGAATGTCGTGTCTCGTTCACTGTTAGTAAAACCTTGTATAGAGGACTCGTGGAATGTCGTGTCTCGTTCACTGTTAGTAAAACCTTGTATAGAGGACTCGTGGAATGTCGTGTCTCGTTCACTGTTAGTAAAACCTTGTATAGAGGACTCGTGGAATGTCGTGTCTCGTTCACTGTTAGTAAAACCTTGTATAGAGGACTCGTGGAATGTCGTGTCTCGTTCACTGTTAGTAAAACCTTGTATAGAGGACTCGTGGAATGTCGTGTCTCGTTCACTGTTAGTAAAACCTTGTATAGAGGACTCGTGGAATGTCGTGTCTCGTTCACTGTTAGTAAAACCTTGTATAGAGGACTCGTGGAATGTCGTGTCTCGTTCACTGTTAGTAAAACCTTGTATAGAGGACTCGTGGAATGTCGTGTCTCGTTCACTGTTAGTAAAACCTTGTATAGAGGACTCGTGGAATGTCGTGTCTCGTTCACTGTTAGTAAAACCTTGTATAGAGGACTCGTGGAATGTCGTGTCTCGTTCACTGTTAGTAAAACCTTGTATAGAGGACTCGTGGAATGTCGTGTCTCGTTCACTGTTAGTAAAACCTTGTATAGAGGACTCGTGGAATGTCGTGTCTCGTTCACTGTTAGTAAAACCTTGTATAGAGGACTCGTGGAATGTCGTGTCTCGTTCACTGTTAGTAAAACCTTGTATAGAGGACTCGTGGAATGTCGTGTCTCGTTCACTGTTAGTAAAACCTTGTATAGAGGACTCGTGGAATGTCGTGTCTCGTTCACTGTTAGTAAAACCTTGTATAGAGGACTCGTGGAATGTCGTGTCTCGTTCACTGTTAGTAAAACCTTGTATAGAGGACTCGTGGAATGTCGTGTCTCGTTCACTGTTAGTAAAACCTTGTATAGAGGACTCGTGGAATGTCGTGTCTCGTTCCTGTTAGTAAAACCTTGTATAGAAGACTGATGGAATGTCGTGTCTCGTTCTCTGTTAGAACAACATTATATAAAGGTCTCGCGATCGGAGAATGTCTTGTCTCGTTCCCTGTTAGTATGATTGAGTAATGTATAGAAGGAATGGTCGTTGTCTTCACCACAATGACAGCCTTCATAACCTTTAAATGGAGACAGCAAGGGGAAGTCTTTATTCCTTTACTGTCCGGAAATGACATTGTCTCTATTCCCGAGCGATATATTTATGCTGATTATCAGCCAAACTCTAGAAAACCTGAACGAATAATAATCGATCGTAGTTTGCACCTCCGTAACAGTAAAGGCAAACTTGCAAAAATGGTTGACCTTGATGCAAAATCTATTTGCATGCTGTTTATGTTTTGTGTGTGATAAAAAACAACATATTTGTATGCTTTTTATAAATCAGAAACAAATTATTTGTCTATAGTGTTATGTTAAATTCAATTTGGTTAGTGAGTCCTTCAAAAAGAAAGAAGCTGCAATGATACAACAAGGGAGACAGCAATAATTATACAGCAGGGAGAAAATATACCTAATAAAGGAAAGGAAACACAATCCATAGAAAACAGAAAAGAAATAACCATTATATAACAAGGGAGATAGAAATCCTACTAAAACAGGGGAATATGTCAGTAAAATAAACCTTATACTTCAAAAAAAACAAAAGTCCTGCTAAATTGTTTAACGTATATAGTAATCCTCATACAACAGGGGAGGTAATTATTAGTATACATTGGGATTTAGACTTTTAAAATAACTCACCAGTTAACCAATAACATAATCGAAAATAGAGGAAAATGAAAGATTTAAACAAAAGTATTCGTAACACTGACAGCTTAAATGAATTACAATCTTATAATGGAGCAATTAGTTATGTTGAAAGCGGAAGTGACGTAGGAAGTTACCATAGTCTGCTCACTGATGGAGTCCACACTGTTGATGAAGAGACTAACATTGACATCCGTGTAGGAATCTAAAATAGAAATAACATTTTAAAATCAACCATCATTATTTAAAACAAATTGTTTCACTATTGTTTTCAAACGTGTAGATTATAGCTTGTTTGATCGCTACTTCTAAAGATATATGTTACACTCACTACTTCCTTGGATTGTAGATTATTACCATTGCAGAGACCCGCTTCTCCAAAAAACGTTAGCCCCATACCAGTTGTCTTATTGAATTGTTAAGAAGCTTATTGCCATCCAGTGACATATGTAAAACAACAATACTTACTGTCTTGTTTGGTTTCTGAGACACTTGTCAAACTCCTATAATTACAATCTTGTTTGGTTCCAAAGATACAAGTCTAACCCAATACTCATTGTCTTGTTTGGTTCCTGAGACACTAGTCAAACTCCCATACATACAGTCTTGTTTGATTCCTGAGACACAAGTCAATCCCCTATACTTACTGTCTTGTTTGGTTCCTGAGACACAAGTCAAACTCTCATACATACAGTCTTGTTTGGTTCCTGAGACACAAGTCAAACCCCTATAGGGACCACGGAACCAAATCAAAAATAGATTGTGGGTTTTTCCCTTTTGGGCAGAAGATTTAATAGGAAGGTGAATGCCTCGGGGCCTGCTGGTTGGATATTAAGGTGGCAGAAGTTTCAAAAGTGTGGGTTGAGCAATATATATATAAGTCTGCTTTTATCTTGGAGAGATTATTAAGTGTGAAATTTTTTGTAAATTATGGTCATTTTTTGGTGCCGAATTCAGTACAAAATGGCGGCCCCATATAAAATAAAAGTTCAAATAGGCAGAATTTTTAAATATCTTATTTACAGTTGTGTGAGATGATATTCTTCAAAATGAGGCCAGTTAAACCAGTGTGAAACCCCCCATTTAACCAGGACAGTGGTAAACGTTAACACTACCGTCTATGGGAAATCATTTGGTTCTGCGGTCCCTATACACAATGAGACACAACTCAAACTCCTATTAATAGTGTCTTATTTGGTTACAAAGACACAACTCAAACCCCTATACTTACTGTCTTGTTTGGTTCCTAAGACACAAGTCAAACACCTATACATACAGTCTTGTTTGGTTCCTGAGACACAAGTCAAACACCTATACATACAGTCTTGTTTGGTTCCTGAGACACAAGTCAAACCCCTGTACTTACAGTATTGTTTGGTTCCTGAGACACAAGTCAAACACCTATACATACTGTCTTGTTTGGTTCCAGAGACACAAGTCAAACCCCTATACTTACTGTCTTGTTTGGTTCCAGAGACAGAAGTCAAACACCTATACTTACAGTCTTGTTTGGTTCCAGACACACAAGTCAAACCCCTGTACTTACAGTCTTGTTTGGTTCCAGAGACACAAGTCAAACCCCTATACTTACTGTCTTGTTTGGTTCCAGAGACACAAGTCAAACCCCGATACTTACTGTCTTGTTTGGTTCCTGAGACACAAGTCAAACCCCTATACTTACAGTCTTGTTTGGTTCCAGAGACACAAGTCAAACCCCTATACTTACAGTCTTGTTTGGTTCCAGACACACAAGTCAAACCCCTATACTTACAGTCTTGTTTGGTTCCAGAGACACAAGTCAAACCCCTATACTTACAGTCTTGTTTGGTTCCAGACACACAAGTCAAACCCCTATACTTACAGTCTTGTTTGGTTCCAGAGACACAAGTCAAACCCCTATACTTACAGTCTTGTTTGGTTCCAGACACACAAGTCAAACCCCTATACTTACAGTCTTGTTTGGTTCCAGAGACACAAGTCAAACCCCTATACTTACAGTCTTGTTTGGTTCCAGAGACACAAGTCAAACCCCTATACTTACTGTCTTGTTTGGTTCCAGAGACACAAGTCAAACCCCTATACTTACAGTCTTGTTTGGTTCCAGACACACAAGTCAAACCCCTATACTTACAGTCTTGTTTGGTTCCAGAGACACAAGTCAAACCCCTATACTTACAGTCTTGTTTGGTTCCAGACACACAAGTCAAACCCCTATACTTACAGTCTTGTTTGGTTCCAGAGACACAAGTCAAACCCCTATACTTACTGTCTTGTTTGGTTCCAGAGACACAAGTCAAACCCCTATACTTACAGTCTTGTTTGGTTCCAGACACACAAGTCAAACCCCTATACTTACAGTCTTGTTTGGTTCCAGAGACACAAGTCAAACCCCTATACTTACTGTCTTGTTTGGTTCCAGAGACACAAGTCAAACCCCTATACTTACAGTCTTGTTTGGTTCCAGACACACAAGTCAAACCCCTGTACTTACTGTCTTGTTTGGTTCCAGAGACACAAGTCAAACCCCTATACTTACAGTCTTGTTTGGTTCCAGACACACAAGTCAAACCCCTATACTTACAGTCTTGTTTGGTTCCAGAGACACAAGTCAAACCCCTATACTTACTGTCTTGTTTGGTTCCAGAGACACAAGTCAAACCCCTATACTTACAGTCTTGTTTGGTTCCAGACACACAAGTCAAACCCCTATACTTACAGTCTTGTTTGGTTCCAGAGACACAAGTCAAACCCCTATACTTACAGTCTTGTTTGGTTCCAGACACACAAGTCAAACCCCTATACTTACAGTCTTGTTTGGTTCCAGAGACACAAGTCAAACCCCTATACTTACAGTCTTGTTTGGTTCCAGAGACACAAGTCAAACCCCTATACTTACAGTCTTGTTTGGTTCCAGAGACACAAGTCAAACCCCTATACTTACAGTCTTGTTTGGTTCCAGAGACACAAGTCAAACCCCTATACTTACAGTCTTGTTTGGTTCCAGAGACACAAGTCAAACCCCTATACTTACAGTCTTGTTTGGTTCCAGAGACACAAGTCAAACCCCTATACTTACAGTCTTGTTTGGTTCCAGAGACACAAGTCAAACCCCTATACTTACAGTCTTGTTTGGTTCCAGAGACACAAGTCAAACCCCTATACTTACAGTCTTGTTTGGTTCCAGAGACACAAGTCAAACCCCTATACTTACAGTCTTGTTTGGTTCCAGAGACACAAGTCAAACCCCTATACTTACAGTCTTGTTTGGTTCCAGAGACACAAGTCAAACCCCTATACTTACTGTCTTGTTTGGTTCCAGAGACACAAGTCAAACCCCTATACTTACAGTCTTGTTTGGTTCCAGAGACACAAGTCAAACCCCTATACTTACTGTCTTGTTTGGTTCCAGAGACACAAGTCAAACCCCTATACATACTGTCTTGTTTGGTTCCAGAGACACAAGTCAAACCCCTATACTTACAGTCTTGTTTGGTTCCAGAGACACAAGTCAAACCCCTATACTTACTGTCTTGTTTGGTTCCAGAGACACATGTCAAACCCCTATACATACAGTCTTGTTTGGTTCCTAAGACACAAGTCAAACACCTATACATACTGTCTTGTTTGGTTCCAGAGACACAAGTCAATCCCCTATACATACAGTCTTGTTTGGTTCCAGAGACACAAGTCAAACCCCTATACTTACTGTCTTGTTTGGTTCCTGAGTCATTTTCTTACTGTTTATTGTCATTCCAGAGACACGTGTTAGATCCCCGTACCTAAAGTCTTATTTTTACTGTTTATTGCCATTCCAGTGATACGTGTTAGATCCCCGTACCTAAACTCTTATTTTTACTGTTTATTGTCATTTTAGAGCCACGTGTTAAATCTCCGTACCTTAAGTCTTATTTTTACTGTTGATTGTCATTCCACAGACACGTGTTAGATCTCCGTACCTAAAGTCTTATTTTTACTGTTAATTGTCATTCCAGAGACACGTGTTAGATATTCTCCTGAGTCATTTTCTTACTGTTTATTGTCATTCCAGAGACACGTGTTAGATCTCCGTACCTAAAGTCTTATTTTTACTGTTTATTGCCATTCCAGTGATACGTGTTAGATCCCCGTACCTAAAGTCTTATTTTTACTGTTTATTGTCATTTTAGAGACACGTGTTAAATCTCCGTACCTTAAGTCTTATTTTTACTGTTGATTGTCATTCCAGAGACACGTGTTAGATCCCCGTACCTAAAGTCTTATTTTTACTGTTTATTGCCATTCCAGAGATACGTGTTAGATCTCCGTACCTAAAGTCTTATTTTTACTGTTAATTGTCATTCCAGAGACACGTGTTAGATCTCCGTACGTAAAGTCTTATTTTTACTGTTTATTGCCATTGCAGAGATACGTGTTAGATCTCCGTACCTAAAGTCTTATTTTTACTGTTGATTACCATTTCAGAGACACGTGTTAAATCTCCGTACCTAAAGTCTTATTTTTACTGTTAATTGTCATTCCAGAGACACGTGTTAGATCTCCGTACCTAAAGTCTTATTTTTACTGTTGATTACCATTTCAGAGACACGTGTTAAATCTCCGTACCTCAAGTCTTATTTTTACTGTTTATTGTCATTTTAGAGACACGTGTTAAATCTCCGTACCTTAAGTCTTATTTTTACTGTTGATTGTCATTCGAGAGACACGTGTTCGATATTCGTACCTAAAGTCTTATTTTTACTGTTGGTTGCCATTTCAGAGACACGTGTTAAATCTCCGTACCTAAAGTCTTATTTTTACTGTTAATTGTCATTCCAGAGACACGTGTTAGATCTCCGTACGTAAAGTCTTATTTTTACTGTTTATTGCCATTGCAGAGATACGTGTTAGATCTCCGTACCTAAAGTCTTATTTTTACTGTTAATTGTCATTCCAGAGACACGTGTTAGATCTCCGTACGTAAAGTCTTATTTTTACTGTTTATTGCCATTCCAGTGATACGTGTTAGATCCCCGTACCTAAAGTCTTATTTTTACTGTTTATTGTCATTCTAGAGACACGTGTTAGATCCCCGTATCCAAAGTCTTATTTTTACTGTTGATTGTCATTCCAGAGACACGTCTTCGATATTCGTACCTAAAGTCTTATTTTTACTGTTGGTTGCCATTTCAGAGACACGTGTTAAATCTCCGTACCTAAAGTCTTATT